CTTATTGCACTTAATCTTTTTTTTTTTAATACTCTCTATTTTACTTCCTCCTCTGGTTTTAACTGAGCATGTCATAAGACTCCGTTTTCTCTTCTGTTGGCATGGCACTTGTATTAATATTAATAACATTGATATTAATGATATATGTTATTATTTATGGTTGCCTTCATATATATATATAAATATGTTATTATTTATGGTTGCCAACCAGCCATATCCATTAACAAGTTGTTTACATTCACTCTCCAATAACATTTTTGGTGCCTTCTCTCAGAGAACTTCCCTTACTGTAATGTAAATGAAGGCACATGCATATTAGTCCTTAGACTATTTTTTCACTGCTGCTGAGATGCAGTAATTCAAAAGCTCACCAACATCAAATCCAAATTTGTACATTATCCAGTTGTTTTAGAAATAGTCAAAAAGTAGCTCATGGACCACTTAGAGTCTACCTACTTGCACATCACATGAAACTTGAACCTGTGTTTTCTGACCATTGACGAAAACGGAGCCTATGGTTCTGAGCCTTCACGTGGCTTGACCCTTTGGAGTCCTTTGGCCTGTAGACTCCAACTGCTGCTGGATGGCATTGTCTACACAGTTAAGGAAATTTTCCCCAGGCTTTCCTGACCCTCCTCTCTTCTGAGTAGACATCCAGGCTATTGACTTGGCACATTCCTGCTATAAGAGATTCTCCCCCATGAAGCCCTGGCAAGGTGTCTCCCATTAGAACTTGGACGTGCCACTGCCATCACAGGCATTGTCCTTCCTGGATCATCCCCCAAACTGGATGAATCACAGATGCTATGACACTGTCTTATTCCAACCATCTGTGTATTGTATTCACCCAATACTTTCCTATCATTACTACTTAGATCAATTAAGAAGAAGAAAAATTTTATTTTACCTTTATTTACTCCTTCTTGGATGTTTTTCTTTTCATCAGATAGAACTCAATATCTCATTTTCATCATTTTCCTTTTCTCTGAGAAACTTCTTTTCATACTTGTAGGAAAATTATGATGGCATTGAATTTCCTCAATTTTTTGGTTGTCTAGTAACATAGTTCTCTTTCACTTTTGAAGGATGGTTTTGAGTTCTGAGCTGTGTGTTTCCTTTAACAATTTTACTCTTGTCTTTGCTTGCATGATTTCTGACATGAAGTCTGATGTAACTCGCAGCCTCGCTCTTTTTTAGCTCAGAAGTATTCCCTTGGTGCTTTCAAGATTTTCTCTTACTTCTCAGTTTTCTGCAGATTACAGTGACATACCGAGGAGTAGGATTTTTGGTTTTTAATCCTGCTTTGCATTTTGTAAACGTGAGTTTCCACTGACCTGTCTTGAAGGTCGCAGATTTGTTCTCTGACAAAGCCCAGTCTACTTATCATCCCACAGGAAGCATTTGTCACTTACGCTGTCTTTATTTTATTTGCTTTTGATTCTTGGTCTTTTCAACTCTCTGCTTACATTGCCCATCTGCTCCTGCATGTTGTCTGTTTTATCCAATAGACTTAACATATTAATCATAGTTATTCTAAAATCTATCCAATTCTGAACCTCTTCATATTATGATTATGATTTCCTATTAGCCCACCTTGTAATTTTTCTGTTGTGTTGACTACACTATGCATTGTGTAATATGATCTGTGGGAAATAGACTTTCAGTGACAAGTCTGAGGTTAATCTGGCTTGGAGACCAGCTTTGTCTAATATTTGCTGGGACTGTTGATACCAGAGCCTCCTCTTTCCCTTTGTCACACTGTCATAGATTTCCCTTCTCCTTTTAGGTTCCCTAAAAACTCTTTCTTAAATAAAATTTGTGACTTGCGCATCTCTTGGTGTAAACTCTCATTACTATTCTGGAGAATTCGAGGGGTGGGGGTAAGATGTGCAAAGAGGAGAACAGTTTAGTCCTGTGATTAACATGGACCTGTGTCACTGGGTGTGAAATTCATATGCAGTTCTCATCCTTTAGCTTTTCTTTTTTACTTAGGTAAGGGAGAAAGGTTGAGAAGACTGGAGTCACTTCCACTCCCATTTCTTCCTTTGCGGAAAAACCTTCATGACAGAATACTCTGGACACATTTCAACAGTTCTGCTCTTTCTCTTCCCAACCCAAGACATCAGTGGTCTTCATCAAAAATATCTGAGCACTTGCAGGTAAAACCCACAAAAGTGCAAGCTCCCCAGATGTTGCTCACCCTCCTGCGGGGCCACACTCTACTTCCAGCAATTCATCAATGTTACTATTTTTAGTGCTCCTATCAGTTTTCTGGCCACAGGTCTTCGGGGCATCTAGGCCGATCTCAGATGTGATCTCTCTCCTCACCTGTCTCTCCAGACGTCAGGGAAGCAATTTACCCTGAATTCTCAATTTTCCAATGTGTCCAAAAGAGGTCATTGATTCCCAGTTTGTTCTGCTTTTCCTGGTTGAAAGGACAGGAAGGAAAATTTTTAAGCTCTTTGTGTGTCAGAATTGAAAGCAAAGATCCCTGTGATTTATTTTTGAATGTTAGAATAATCTTACCCTTCAGGAATAAAGCCAACTTGGTTATGATATTTTGTTACTATTATTTTACATTGCGGGATTGTATCTGCTAAAATTTTGTCAATAATTTTAGGGTTATGTTCCCAGGCAGTATTTTCTCATAATGTCTTCACTTGTTTGGGTATTATAGGGGATGCTGGCTTCACAAAATTAGGAATTTGCTTTCTTCTTCAATTTTCTGGAAGAGTCTATAAAATTAATACATTTTCTTTTCAAAATGTTTTGTGGGGCTGGGGATTTAGCTCAGCGGCACAGTGCCTGCCTGGCAAGCTCAAGGTCGTCAGTTCGATTCCCGGTACCGGAAAGAAAACCTAAATAAATAAATAAAATGTTCTGTAAAATTCACCCATGAAAATGTTTGGGTCTGGAATTTTCTTTACATGAAAGATTTAGTGATAAATTCAGCTACACACATACACACACTCTGAGATGCATCATTTTAGTGAAATTGTCAAAGAATGATCTTTTCTTTTTATTTTTCTGGTTTTTAGTTTGTGTTTTATATCATTCATTTCCCTGCTTATCTCCACCATTCCCTTTCTTCTGTGCACTTGGGGTTTGGTGTCTTGTGCTATTCAATTTAGGTGGACACGGAGCTGGCCACCTGGGACATTGCTGCTGTTCTGCCTTCCTGAGTACCTGGTTCTGCTCTCTGAACTGCTCTAGGCAGCCCATGCACATTCTGACATGATGAGGCATCACCGTCAGTTCAAAGTGCTTTCTAATTGCTCTTTTGGTTCCTTATTTGAACCAGGAGACACTTACAAGTGTTTTACTTTGCTTCCTAATAGCTTTATATTACTCAGACATCTCTGATATTGATTATTAATTTAAATCCTTTATACTGAGAGTACAGTTAGTATCTTTTGAATTTTTTGAGACATTTTCTGGCTCAAGACAAAGTTCATTTAGGTTAAATTTCCAAGTATGCTGGAAAAGAATGTGGAAAATATTTATTTGGCTGTTTGGGGTAGAATGTTCTATAAATTTTAATTAGGTCTAATTGATTGATAGTGTTGCCCACATTTCTGTATGCTTAATGATTTTTGACTCCTTGCTCTATCATTTATTGAGAGAAGAGTGCTGTAATATTTCACTATAAATGTGAATCTGCCAATTTCTCCTTGTAATATGACCAGAGTTTATTTCATGTGCTTCAAGCACTGTTATTAGGTGCACACAGGTTTAGGATTATTATGTCTTCTCAAAAATTGATCCCTTTATCATTATGAAGAAACTATCTTTATCCCTGGTAATATTGTCTTCTCTGAAATCTACTCTATCTGGCATTAATATAGCCACTTGAGCTTTCTTTTTTATTAGAGTTAGTATAGTATATGTTTATCAACATGTTTACTCTTAAATCTATTTCTGTCTTTATATTTAAAATCAGCTTCTCATTGGAACATGTTTTGGAGTTTTACTTTTTTTGCTCCACTCTCATAATCCCTATTTTTCACTTGGGATGTTAAGGTTACTTATTTAAGGTGGTTATTTTAATGAAAATATTCAAAACTATCATCTTCCCCCTTTCTACTTACCTTTTTATTTTTTTTATTTTTTTGGTTTTTTGAGACAGGGTCTCATGCAGTTCAGGCTGACCTTGAACTCCCTACATAGCCAAGGCTGGCCTCAAACCCATGGTGCTCCTCCTGCCTCAGCCTCCCTAGTGCTGGTTTTGTAGGCTTGTTCCACCACGCCCAGCTTTTCTACTTATTTCACTTGTTCTTTGTTTCATCTTCTTTTGGTCTTTGTGTATTTGTTGGCTTAATAGCAATAACTATGCTCTTGGATTTATTTAAATCATTGCCTTAAGGTTTATAATGTACAAATTTCATGTACCATAGTCTAACCTCAAGTAATATCTCACTTTATACATATCAGTATATTTCCCTTACTCTCTTCCTGGAATTTGAGTTATTGAACCAAAGAACAAAATTTCAATGAAGTTTTACAGATCTAATTGGATTTTCTTACTGACTCTTGAATCAGGCAGCGTGCAGGCTACCAAACAGACAGGACTTCTCACTGCGCACGCAGGACAGTTGCTTTTGCTTTTGCTTTTGCTTTAGTCCATGGTTGCAGCACACGGCCTTTACGGTCCTCGTGTGGAGTTGGGGCGGGGACCTCTCAATTCCTTTCCCATCCCCTTTCCCTGCCCCTACTTCCTTTCGTCTGCCCTTTACTTTGATCTGTATTTATGTTGGGGGTTTGGGTTTTATAAACTACTTCAGGCGGAACAAGTAAAGAGCGTAGTGCACAAAGCAACTCTGTTCAGACCGGGTTGTTTCGGGCTGCTTCGCTCCTTGGGTTGAGGCGCAGCGGCTTTCTTACTGCGCCTGCTCAAACTGACCGGGCCCCTGCAGGTCGGTTGCTAGGAATCTCATGTTTTTGGAAACCCGGCCTATTTTTAAGAGCATTTTGATGGTGTGGTACTTAGCACAGGTGACTCACTCTTGTTTGGTTTGGCCTCTGCTGGGGCCCAGTGCAGGAGCTCAGTTAGAAACCACAGCCTCCGGTAAACTCCTTCTCACAACTGAAATGGGTTTTACGTCCTCGCAGATTGTAAGCATCATATAACAATTATATTTGTTTGCTTTAGTCAATTATTTAATAGGGAGATTTTAACAACAAGAGTAATTTAAATTTATTTTATAATTACCCATATATTTAGCATTTCCAGTGCTTTTCATTGCTTTATGTAGCTCTAGATTCCAGCTTTTATTGTTTTTCTCTGCTTGAAAATCTTCCTTTACTGTTTGACTATTTCTCAGAAGGCGTGTTCACTGCAGATGGTTCTTTTAGCGTTAGCGTATAAGAAAACCTTATTCTATCTTCATGCCTGAAATATAGTTTTGCTAGGTATAGAAATCTGGAATCATTTCCTTCTTCTAATACTTTAAAAGTACCGATCCTTTGTCTCCTGTTTGTTTTATTCCCGACAAGAAGCCTGATTTTATTCTTACCTTTGTGACTATACATCAACTGTGACTTTCTAATCAGGCTGTTGTTAAGATAGTGTCTTTACCACTTATTTTAAATAATTTGGGGGCTGGGGGTTTAGCTCAGCGGCAAAAGCGCCTGCCTGGCACGTGCAAGGTCGTGAGTTCGGTTCCCGGTACCGGAGGAAAAAAACCAAAAAATAAATAAATAAATAAATAAATAATTTGATTTTGCTGTACCTTCATGGTGTTGTTTTTGTCTGGGGCTTACTAAACATAATTTTCATCAAGCTGGGTAAGTCATATACATTATGTCTTCTAGTTTTTTACTCTCTTCTCCTTTGAAGTTAAATTATACACGTACCACAGATTATTTCAGTATCCACAGGGTACTGTTATTGTTGTTGTTCTGCTTCATTCTTTCTTCTCCTCTGTATTTCATTTTGGATAATTCCTATTGCTAGAGCTGAAAAATCAGTAATCTGTCCTTAACCCAATAACCTCAGACATAGTTATTTTTTTCAGTTTTAGAAATTAAACTTAGATGTTTTAAAGATTATTTATATCTCTCCTTAGTATACTTAGTCTTTCTCTGTATTTTCTCTTTCTTTTCTCTTTGCAGTGCTGAGATTAAACCCAGGGCTTCACGCTAGACCAATGCTTTACCACCGAGCTACATCCCCATTCTCTGTCTTTTTGATTATTTTAATTCATTGTCTATTAACTCTATCATTTTTGAGTCTGTTTTATTAATAAATTTTTTTCTTCATCAATTTGAAGTTCTTTGCATCTTTGCATGTCTAGTAACTTTATTGGATGACAGACATTATGAATTTTAATTTTGGGCTCAATATATTTCTGCATTTCTATAAATATTTTTAAACTTCATTCTGGGATACAGCTAAATGACTTGGAAATATTTCTTTTCCTTTTAAAGTTTACTTTTAAGCTTTGATTTGGCATAAGGTGAGCTTCCAAAGTCAGCCCAATGCATCAAGCAGAATGAGATTTTTCTCTAGTTCTGAGAACATGAAGTGTTCCTGACCCTGTGCAAGCTCTGAGGAATTTTCCCTCTCATTCTCTGACACGGTTTTTCCCTTGGCCTCATGTAGTTCCCTTGCATACTGATCAATACTACGAGGGTTCAACGGGTCCCCTTTGCACATGTATGGTGCCTGCTCTGCGTAGCGATTTTTCTCTGCCTTACTTTGTTCTCTTTAGTGCTGGGTGCTTTGATCTCCCAGGAATCCCAGCTTCCTCTTTTCATTCAAGAGGACGGTAGGGCTCCGCTTGTGTTTCACTCCCTCTGAGAAGTCAGGGATCATTTTAAGACTTAGGCTCCCATCTCTCTTATCAGTAGACACTACCCTGGGCTCCGTCACCTCCAGTGTGTGAGTCTGGCCCCTCTGACTCAATTCCTCCCAGCACAATTCTCTCTACTGACGTAGTTAGGTAAGAATCAGACTGTATAATGCAATGTATGCACCTCATTATTGCTCTTCTGCAGGAGGGGAACATTCAGTAAGTGCTCAGTAGGAATACCTTGTCTTTTATTCCCTCTGTCTCTACCATGCTCTACACTTTAGTGAGGGATGCATCAGAACTTGGTTTGGGAAGAGATTTTCTTGCCACACTGCCATCTTCATCAGAACACTACCAGCATTCTCCAAAGTGAGAAATTATTCTCAATCTTAATTAAATAACTACCAAGGAGAAGCACCGCCCTATCACTGTATCACTGCCTTGCCTCCCTCCCCCACCGTGCAACGTTCCAAAAGGGGAAACTCACTTAGGAACTGTGGCACTTTTCACAACACCTCAGGTGACACGTTTCCCTTACACCTAGTTAAGCCACCTATTACTGGCCTATGATTTACAGTGCCAGTAGATTATCCACTGGTCTTGGTGGAGGAAGATTCTAAGTGTCTGTAATTTAGTTCGCTTCTCTCTCCAGTGAAATGCTTGAGGACCATAAATTGCAATCATGTAATAGACTTGATTGTTTCACGCAGTGGTGTGAGGAAGAGGTTTGTACCTTGTGAAGAGGTTACTTTTGGTTTTCCTTAAAACCTAGAAACACAAAGAAAGGCTGTGCCCTAAAGGACAGGAGCAATGTTTTTCACTTCACAGGTGAGTTCCAAGTAAGTATACAGACTCATTTCACCTTTTACTCTTAGTTCAAGTGGTCATGAAAGGATTAACAGTCAGAGTTGGAGGAATGTTAACAACCCAGGACATTTTCACTTTTTCTGCCTTATGAAGAGAATAAGTAAGGAAGAAAAATAAAGAGGGTAATTACAGATGATCAGGCTTCACTCTGTGGAAGTCACAAGCCTTTGAGGCAGCATCGTGCGGGGTTTAGGGACACTCAGTGGTCTGGGAAGTCAAGCCGTAGCTGGACCTGTCATGGTCTTTGATCTGCCTTGACAGAATGCTCTTCTCTTCATCTGCTTGATCTGTTTGCAAAGAAGCACAAAGTTAGTGCTAATTAAAATGATTCCAGATCTTAGGAGCTAATATTATATATAATTATATATTATATATATCTATATGATTGTATATAATATTACCTCCTAGGATCTGGAGTCATTTTAATTAGCACTAAGTATGTGCTTCTTTATATATGTCCCAATGACACAGTGGCATGTGTAATCTGTGTGTCTGTGTGTATACTCAACAAAAGTCAGTAAGCAGATGAAGATTGTGTTGATTATCTGCCACTGGGTCCTCTACTTTTCTCTCTGAATGCACTCTGTCCCACAGGCCCCCCATTAGGATTACATCATCAGGCCCCTCCCAAGCCCTCTCTGGCTTCTCACAGGTATGGCTAGTGGGGAGACGCAGCAGGAAGTAGGAAAAAGATTCCAATTGTCACATGGGGGCACCTGAAGTGAGGGTAATGTTAATGATGCAGGAGCATGGGTCTCAGGGTGCTTTGGCTGAAGAAGAAAAGCATCCATTAATATTCCCTAGGACACCCTACTTTGCCACTGGACAATACTGCTGTGTATCATGCAAAAAATGTAAAGCTAATAGTAGACAGATTGTCTCGCTGAGTCCTGCATAAGGACAGGTGGAAGAGAACCAGTCAGTCAGTGAACAAAGGCCGGTCTCTCGTCTACTCTGCATACCATCCTGATAAGTTTGTTTCAGCATGGAAACTGCAGACTTCCCCTTATACAAAGTTTTTATGGAGAATCATAATGAACTTGTTGCAAAACACTGCTCAGCATTAATATAGTATCCAAAGGCTATGTGTCAGACTGGCACACTCTGGAGGGTTTTTTCATTGTCAATCAGTTGGAAATTAATTTTAGGTGAGCTTTAGAGATCTTATAATAAAGACATTTTCAAAACCCAACAGAGTATGTATATAATAACATGCAATATAAACAGTACAGTCAAAGAAAATCACACAAACAATTCAGAAAAATAAACAAGTTAGTTCAAGGATTTTCTTCTATGACATAAATCAGAAATGGGAGAGGAACAGAGACAGTCAGAGGTAGAAGTTTTGTGATAACTGTGACAGGGGAAATAAGTGAGGGTCATATGAATTTGCTGAGGATCTTTAATCTCTGAGATCCATAAGTCTGGATTAGGGGCAAGGGACTGATCTAGAGGTACCCCCACGCACTCCACTTGCTGTAAGAAAGCAGAGAAAACCTAGATAGGTACCAGACATAATTATCTGAAGAACCACCTATCCAGAAAAAAGCCACCCACGGGAAGAAACACCCATAGCACATTGCAACTGAGCACTCCCCAGTGTCTTATTTCAGGAAGAACCAATTCTAGCAACCAAGTTTGGTCTCTAGTGATAATGATGAACACCATTATCATTATCTAGTGATAACGATGAAAATAAGAGTTGAGGGCTAGAATCCTGTCATGGTCAGTAGGAAAAGTGCATTCTGGACAAGTAACATCTACCCAGAATAAACTACTATTTGGCTGGGCATGGTGGCACTGGCTGTTATTCCAGCACTCTGGGAGGGTGAGGCATAAATTTGAGACCAGCCCAGGTAATTCAGAGATTTAATGAGATCCTGTCTCAAACACAGACAGAGAGAGAGACAGAAACAGAGAGAGAGTGAAACAGAGA